CGGAGCTGAGCCCCGCCTTGTTTCTCACCCCAAGTGGCTCAACGAGGAGAAGATCGTCCAGAGGCTCATCGAGCAGATCCACCCATCAAAGGACGACAATGTGAGTGTCCCCTTCCTCCCTTCAAAGAGGACAGGGAGCCTTGGGAACGGTGCGCCCCGCTGCCCACGCCCAATGTAGGGGCAGAACAGAAAGGGGTTCACATGAGGAAGGTTCTGAGCCAGAAAGTTGGCCTGTCCTCCCTGAGCCGGCAGGTCTGGTGAAGGTCCTCTGACTCGGGCTCTGTTCCCTGTGCCCTTGCTGCTGCCCTTCCCGGGCGGTCATCCTCTCTCCCTCCTTGCCGGCTCTGTACCTGGACGAGTCCTGCTTGTCCTCCAGAAAATCCACCTGGGGCCCTGCATCCTCACCAACGTGTCCCCAGCCCACAGTGTAGGGAGTCAGCACCCAATGCTTAGCCAGCCCCCATCCCAGGAGGGTGATGGCTATCCAGGCCTTTGTCAGAGGGACAGCGGTACCCACTGTGAGCCTACGTGGGTCTAGGTTCTGTCTGTAGGTCCCAGGGCTGCTGGGTCCAGGGTCCAGGGTCCAGGGTCTGCCTGTGGGCCCTGTTGGGTTAGACTCAGCATTCCGCTCATGCTTATTTCTTGCTGTTTTTTTTTTTTTAACAGCTTTGTTGAGAATAAGTTATGTAGTACACAGCCCCCTCCCCCCCATTTATAATATGGGATTCGGTGGTTTTTCTTTTTAAATGTTTTTATTGATTTCAGAGAGAGGAAGGGAGGTGGAGAGAGAGATGGGAACATCAATGATGAGAGTCATTGATCGGCTGTCTCTTGCACGCCCCCCGCTGGGGATTGAGCCTGAAACCTGGCCGTGTACCCTGACTGGGAATCCAGCCCTGACCTGGTTCATGGGTTGACGCTCAACTGCTGAGCCACGCCAGCTGGGCTTCAGTGGCTTTTAGTATATCCAGTTGTGCAGCCATCCCCACGCTGGTTTTGGGATATATTTCATCACTCCCTATGCCCATTAGCTGTCACTCCCTCTCCCCTCATGGTTCCCCAGCCCCGGCAGCCACCAGTCTGCTTTCTCTCTCTCGGTTTGCCTCTTCTGGGTGTTTCGTATACATGGAATCATACAATGTGGGGCCTCTTTGCCTTAACACTGTGTTCTGTGTGTATCCGTGTCAGTGCTTCATCCCTTTCTGATGCTGAGGAATGTTCTGCTTGTGGGCAGAACACAGTTGCTTACCATTCAGTAGTTGGTGGATGTCCCTTTTTTGGCTACTGAATGTCGCAGGAGACATCTGTGGGATGTCTCCTTTTCCAGGAAGCCTCCCCTGGTTTCCCCTTTCTCTGTGTCTTGAGCTTCCTCCTTCGGTACTTGTATCCCTGTATCTGTGCCATTCTCCTCCCTGTCCCTAAGAGCCAGGGCCAGTTGGTCAACTCATTGGTGGGGGCATAGGGGGGGTCCCGACACCAGGCTTTGGAGGGCCCCACAGCCAGACTGGGGTACTCAGCTCTTTCTCCATCTCCCCAGCAACATTCCAACGCGTCCCAGTCCCTGTGTGACATCATCCGCCTCAGCCGGGAGCAGGTGATCCAAGTCCAGGACAGCCCGGAGCCTGACCAGCTGTTGGCCACCCTGGAGAAGTGGGTTTGCCAGCGCACCCTGGCCCAAGGAGGGTAGCTGTCCTGGGGACCTGGGTCCCAGGCCCTTTACCCTGACCCCTTCACTCCAGGCAGGAGACGATCGAACAACTCCTGAGCAACATGCTGGAGGGGGAGCTGAACCCGTCCGTGCTCGTCAGTGGGATCCAGGTGCTGCTGACCCTGCTGGAGCCCAGGAGGCCACGGTGAGAGGCTACCTCCCAGGCGGCTCTGCAACTCCCTGAGGACATGGCCTCCTTTCAGGGATGGAGGTCACGGGACACGACCTCCATAGTAGTGTCCACTTCACAGTGGTCACTGTGGTCTGAGAGGAGAGTGCTCCTGTTCCCATCTGACAGCCAAGGAAACAGGCCAGGTCAATTAGCCATAGCTTCCAAATCCAGGGTCCCTTGGGCAGGTTACTGCCCAAATGCAGTGGTGTGTCTACCCTAGGGTCCCAGGGCCCCCGGCCTGGGTGCCTCCCTCTCAGTCCCTCCCTTCACGTCCTGACCAAGAGCAACTTCTCTCTCCTTTTCAGATGTGCTCTGTGCCCACGCACATGCCCACGCCCACGCCCAGGCTGTCTGGGCAGCTCACTTGGCCCTCCACTCTTTCCCCTGCTGCAGGTCTGAGTCTGTGATTGTGAACAACTTCTTCAGCAGTGTGGACGGGCAGCTGGAACTCCTGGCCCAGGCGACCCTGGACAGCTCTGTGTCCAGCATGGGTGCCCTGCACGCCCTACGCCCCCGGCTCAGCCACTTCCACCAGCTGCTGTTCGAGCCCCTGGAGGTGGGCTGGGCAGGCGGGGAGTGGCGGGAGTGGTGGGGAAGGTTGCTCCTTGGTCCTGGCTAGCAGTGGGCCAGGAATCGAGCCTCCACTGTGTCTGCAGCTGGAGCCGCTGTGCACGACATGGGGCACCCTGGACCCACCCCTGGGCAACACACGGCTGCATGTGGTCAAGCTGCTGGCCAGCGCCCTGAGCGCCAACGATGTGGCCCTCACCCAGGAGCTCCTGGCACTGGACGTGCCCAACACCATGCTGGTGCGGGGGTGGGGCACTGGGCAGGGTGGGGTGTGTTGGGCGAAGCCTCAGGGGTCTCTCCATGCCAGCCTGCACCTCACCCCCCAGGACCTCTTCTTTCACTACGTGTTTAACAACTTCCTGCACACACAAGTGGAGGTGTGTGTGAGCACCATGCTGAGCGCTGGGCCCCCTTCCCCTTCTGACAGCATCCTCGAGGCACCTGCCCCAAACCCTGTCGTGAAGCACGTAAGCTGGGGTGCCCGGATACCCCTCCTTCCCCAGGGGTGGGCTCTGCCCCCTATCTGTTCCTTGCCTGTTGTGGAGCTAGTACTTGGTGGGTGACTTCGCGTCCTGGGTGTTGGGGGCTTGGCCTTGTCTTTAGGTCATGTCTGGGGGAAACAGAGGGTGACCTGCAGGGAGGTGAGTGGACACGCGACCCTAGGATAGTGGGTGTCCTGGGAAGGATGCTGCCAGGGTGACGGCTGCTGCAGTGGACAGGGATGCTGCCCTGGGTGTAGCCAGGGCCCTGGGGGAGGAGCTGTTCAGAGGGAAGGTTGGGGTTTGTGGTCTAGATTGAGTAGGACTTGGACAGGCGAATGATGTTTCTGGGGGAGCAAAGCGGGGCGCACAGGAAAGGGGGCAGGTGTGCGTGTGTGGGCTGTTTGCAAGGGTGTTGTTCAGAGAGTGAGCAGAGGCTTGAGTCCAGACCCTGGTGGGGGCTGCCCTGTGGGTGGAGCGTAACCTGGCTGGTCCCTCCCCCAGCTGCTGCAGCAGTGCCGCCTGGTAGAGCGCATCCTGACGTCCTGGGAGGAGAATGACCGTGTGCAGTGAGTGTCCTGCCTTCCTTCTGGGCGGGGAGGTGGCATGAGCAGCCTGTGTCCAGCTCCGGCCTCCCCTTTCCTTCAGGTCCACAGGGGGCCCACGGAAAGGCTACATGGGCCACCTGACGAGAGTGGCCAACGCCCTGGTGCAGAACTTGGAGAAGGGGCCCAATGCCGAGCAGCTGGGGCAGCTGCTGAAGGGTGAGGTGGGCCTGGCCTGCGGAGGGGGGGTGGGGATGGCCTAGGGCTGCCCTCACGCCCTTGTCCCTGTCCCTCCCCGAGCAGAGCTTCCCGCCGAGCAGCAGGAGCAGTGGGAGGCCTTCGTGTCGGGACCCCTGGCCGAGACCAACAAGAAGAACATGGTAGACCTGGTGAGGCCCCTGCTTCCAGCTTCTATGTTCTCAGCTTCCCTGTCCTCACGGCCACCCCTGCGGCCACAGGCCCTCACAGCCCTGTCCCCTGCCCGCCCAGGTGAACACCCACCACCTGCACTCCTCCAGCGACGACGAGGACGACCGGCTCAAGGAGTTCAACTTCCCCGAGGAGGCCGTGCTGCAGCAGGTGGGCTGCGGGCTGCAGGGGTCCTGGGCCCCGGCTCTACGCGCCACCAGCCTCTGACCTCCACCCACCGACCCCCGCAGGCCTTCATGGATTTCCAGATGCAGCGCATGACCTCGGCCTTCATCGACCACTTCGGCTTCAATGACGAGGAGTTTGGGGAGCAGGAAGAAAGTGTGAAGTGAGTGTGCCCCTCCGTGAGGCTGCCTGCCGTGTGGCTTCTGCTGTCCTTCCTGTGTGTGTCCTCCCTGGGTTGCTGGAAATGTGTGGGATGGGCCCCAGAGGCCAGGGCCACCTGTTCCCCCTCCAGAGGCCTTGGGGTGATGAGATTTCTTTTTAAGTATGTTTTTATTGGTTTTTAGAGAGAGAGGAAGGGATAAGTAGAGAGAGAGAGAAACATCAATTGGTTGCCTTCAGCAAGCATCCTGACGGGGGTTTGAACCCACAACCTGGGCATGTGCCCTGACCAGAAATCGAACCCACAACCTTTCAGTGCACAGGACACTCAACCGAGCCACCTGGCCAGGGCAAGGTTTCTTTTCAGTGGCCAGTTCTGTGTGTTTGTATTTGGGGCAGCCGCATTTCATCATCGCCTCTGGCGTTGTGTCGTGAATGTTATTTATCCCCTGAATTTTCTGCCACAGGCATCTGTTTCCTTTAGAGTGAGAGAAAAACTGAAAACTGAGTAATGCTTTGTAAATTGTGTGGGCAACCTTGTGGCCACACCACGTAGACCTCGAGGGGGAGGCACCCTGGGAGGAATGCAGGACACTGGGTTGGGGCACCAAGTGGCTCTTCACCACCCACCTACCCAGGGGCCTCCTTTCCGCGCCTGGTCCTGCCACTGTCAGCCCCCGGCCTGGGGCAGGTCACTTGGGTGGGTCTGGTCTCCTTGTGTGCACCTCAGGGCTGAAGGGTCTGGCAGGTTCCGAAGGGAGCCTGCCCTGCAGGGCCCTGAGGGAAGTGCCCACTGAGCGGAAGAGGTCACTTTTGAAGAATGAGCCCTGATGCCCTCAGGCAGACGGTGGGGAAGCAGATGGAGAAAGGCCCTTTTGGCCCCTTAGGGAAGCACACAGGGCATCCAAGGGGTGGATCCAGGGACAGAGTCCCCTTGGACACCTCTGGATGAGGGTTGGGACAGGAGGGCAAAGGGCAGGACCTCAGCTCTACAAACGTCCACAGGTGATGGGCATGCGCTGCTAGTGTTCGCTTGGTGTTAGTGAGTGGGGAAGTTTGCAGGGACGCAACTGAGAATAGTGAGGGTACAGGCATGGACGGAGCAGTGGGAGACAGCCTGTCTCAGCGTCTCCTCCCTGCCCCTGCTGCTTTCCCAGCGCGCCTTTTGACAAGACAGCCAACATCACCTTTTCCCTCAATGCTGATGATGAGAATGTGAGTGCTGCCCCGTCCTC